GCGAGAGAGAGAGCACAAGCAGGGGGAGTGGCAGGAAGAGGGAGAAGCAGACTCCCCACTGAGCAGGGAGCCCAATGCGGGGCCTGATCCCAGGACCCTGGGATCATGACCTGAGCGGAAGGCAGACTTAACGACTGAGCCACCCAGGCGCCTATTTATTTATTTATTTATTTATTTAAGAGGGGGGAGGGAGGGAGGGAGAGAATCCCAAGCAGGCTCCACGCCCAGCACAGAGCCGGACACAGGGCTTGATCCCACGACCCCGAGATCTCGACCTGAGCCGAAATCTAGAGTCAGAGACACTTAACTGACTGAGCCCCCCAGGTGCCCCTAAGCTCTCCTAACTCTTAATAAAACCCTTCTTGGGCATTTCCTCACTCACATCTTCGAGTTCCTTCATCACGTCTTTTTTTCCCTCTTTACCACACTCCTTGAACAGTGTGCTCTCACCCTGTGCTCTCCAGCTACTGTACACACCGCAGAGTGGGGCAGGTGGCTTTCCCTGTAGCTCTGGGCTGCGGCGCGCTCCCCCCCAGGGCAGAAGCTGCAGCGGATGCTGTACAAGCACTTGCCTGGTGGGCACCCGCAGTGGGGCCTTGTGTCTCTGACTCCAACTTCGACTTAGCCAGAGCGCCCAGCCTGGTGCCCTGCTGCGCTCTAGGGGTGGGCTGGCCTAAACCACCACCACGTGCTCACTGTTGAAATTTGGGGAAATAACTTTAAATTCGCTTCCTTTGTGTTTTGAACCTATGATCTCACCCAGAACTATGATGTTTCTAAAGAGTTGGGAGAGTTCCATTGCGTGCTGATGTGTTCCTGTTGCTGGATGTCTGGATGGTTTCCAGTTTGTCAGTAGTGTGGACATTCTTGTAGGTGAATGGCCCCTCAAGCTCACAGCCATTTTCTTGGGATAAATCACCTTAGCTGGGCCTTCTGGTCTTGGGGCAGGGGTGCCACACGAGTCGTTCTTCTACCCACATTGGTACTCCTGGCTTTGCTCTGTCTGGATTAGTAGCTTCTCCAAACTCAGAAGTAAATATATTTGTTTCTCTAGCAACAAATTCCCAACCAAGCAACATGCTCTGTCAGGATGTCCTGCCTCTGTCCTCCAGGCCTCAGCTGATAGCACTCCCTGATCTCCCCCCTGGTCCTTGACCCAAGCACCTGCTCTCTGCACTGCCTATTTCAAGCCTCCTGTCTCTGGACTGTGGTAGCCTTGTCCCTGCACCAGGCTGTCCCCAGCATGTCCTGACACTGTCATCCATGGTCTCGGTGAGGTGCATAGGGACGCCCTCATGCCAGTGCACCTCCAGACTCGGCACTCATGCTTGTTGGGGTCTGTTTTCCCAGCCCCTCTGTAGGCTCCCAAAGGACAGCAGCACCGCTGGCTGGCCCCTGTGTAGCACACCCCCGACCCTGGGGCAGACCCCACGTTCACACACACACACCGGGTGGGGGCCGTCTTCACCTGAGGTAGCCCCACATACACACACACACGTACACGTGTCTGCACAGACATAGCCCTCTATGGTAGAGGTAGTTTATTCATTCTTCAGTAACAAAGATGGTAACTGCCACCGATTCTTCCAGACTTCTTTTTTTTTTTTAAGATTTTATTTATTTATTTGAGAGAGAGAATGAGAGACAGAGAGCATGAGAGGGGGGAGGGTCAGAGGGAGAAGCAGACTCCCCGCCGAGCAGGGAGCCCAACGCGGGACTCGATCCCGGGACTCCAGGATCAGGACCTGAGCTGAAGGCAGTCGCTTAACCGACTGAGCCACCCAGGCGCCCTCTTCCAGACTTCTTGAGTGCACATCCCCAGTTGCTGGGACGACTGCAGCTCATCAGAGAACCCAGTGCTGATTAAGCCACTGAGAGAATTGAGCCATGTATTTCTGATTTCAGAGCCCACATTCTTTTTTCTTTCTTTCTCTTTTTTTTTTTTTGAAAGAGCGCATGAAAGCGAGAATGGGGGGAGGGGCAGCTGGAGAATCTCAGGCTGACTCGCCACCCAGCACAGAGCCCTCTATCCTGAGATCATGACCTGAGCCAAAATCAGGAGTCCGCTGCTTTAACCTACTGAGCCACCCAGGCGCCCTGCAAAGCCCACATTCTGGAGCCACTGACTGCGTCCAGCCCAGTGGCTCCTGTGAGGCTGTGCTGGTCTCGGAGCACATGGAGCGCGGTTGGGCCCTTCTGGAGGCTGGCCCGGTGCCGTCCGCCGTTCTCACAGGCCACGTGACCCCATGTTAGTGCTGGCGGGCCCCAGCCCAGTGCCCCCGAACACATGCGCAGCACTTGTCCGTTAGCGCCATTTACAAGGTAGTTTCTACGCTTTCTGTCTGGAGGAAAAAAACTTATAAAAATATAGTATCTAGGGGCACCTGGGTGGCTCAGTCGGTGAAGCTTCTGCCCTCGGCTCAGGTCATGATCTCAGGGTCCTGGGTTCGAGCCCCACATCGGGCTCTCCACTCTGTGGTGAGTCTGCTTCTCCCTCTCCCTCTGTGATCTCTCTTGCTTTCACTCCCTCTCAAATAAATAGTCTTTAAAATATATATATATAGTATCTAAAAAGATATAGATACATATAAAATATCTACCTAGTTATTGTTTTGTTCTGTTTTCTTAAGGATATCCCTTTATTTTTATTTATAAGATTTTATTTACTGAGAGAGTGAGTGGGGAGAGGGGCAGAGGGAGAGGGAGAAGCAGGCTCCCCGCTGAGCAGGGAGCCCGGATCCCAGGACTCTGGGTTCATGACCTGAGCTGAAGGCAGATACTTAGCTGACTGAGCCACCCAGGTGCCCCCTGGTTACTGTTTTTTGTCTCTCAATGTACAAAATATGAAAAGGACCAAGAAACGAGTTACAAGATTGTGAGCAGGCAGCCCTGACTTTCATTAAAAGTAATATTTGTGTATGTATTTTAGAAGCCCCAACTATGGAAAGTTAGGGAATGAATGTGGAAGGCCGCCCTCCCTAACAGTGCCTCCCGCCTCCCTCCACATGAACACTGTCCAGCAGGCCTTTAGGACCTAGAGAGGGGAGACTGCCCTGCCCCCCCTCTTCACCTGATGGGTCTTAGTGTCCACAACCTGCGTGGTGCATGAGGTGGACAGAGGCCATCTTGGAGGTCATGTTTCTTTGGGCCATTAACCTAGGTGTGTCCTGCCTGGCCCTCCAGCACCAGCTGGAGTCTCCACGACTCTCCTCTCCTGCCTTCCCTGCACTCCTGAGTCAGACAGGCTGAGGCTATGATGGTGCAGTGTGAGGGTCAGTGGAGGGCCCGCTGGGTACCTCGCGGGATGGGGTTGGACACCCAGCACTGGCTTCTGTGGGAAGGAGGGAGGTGTGAGCTGACTGGAGTAATGTCAGATGCACCAGGAAGCAAATGCTGTTCTTGGAGAGGAACTTGGGCTGGAGCTTCAGCAGTAAGAGAGACCAGGACCTGGGGGTCCACAGAGTGGGTGGGGGCCACGGGTTAGGTGCATAGTGTGAATTCGGTATCAGGTGATCTCTGAGCACAGGCCACTCCTCACCTGGCTGGGCATTGATTCACCCCTGGGCTCCCTAGTGTCCCTGTGGATGGACGTGACCTGGGCTCTGGGAAGTGCTTGACCATACATCCTTTTCTAGGCACATAGATAATGTTTAAAAATCGTCATCTCTAAATATTTTGGTAATATTTTTTAGATAAATGCTTTGTTTTCCCTGTATTCTTTTTTTTTTTTTTAATGTATTATTTATTCATGAGAGTCAGAGAGAGAGAGAGAGAGGCAGAGGGAGAAGCAGGCTCCCCACCTAGCAGGGAGCCCGATGCGGGACTCGATCCCAGGACCCCGGGATCACGACCTGAGCCGAAGGCAGACGCTTAACCATCTGAGCCACCCAGGCGCCCCTTCCCTGTATTCTTATACTTTCCATACCAAAACCCTTCTGTGGTTTTCTTCCTTGTGTGTATTTTGTTTTTTATTACCCTGTTTTGCACAGTTGTATGTACCTCTGGTGTGGACCAGGAAGAAAGGTGTCGGGGCCGATCTGGCAGGGGCACCCCACCCTCGCAAGAGAGGCACTGTTGCTGCCCCTTCGGTCGGACGCCTGGCCAGCCCACCCACTGGGCACACTCCTTCCGGGGATAAATTGGTTTACCCTGCATTTCCAGTTCTTAGGGTCACTTACAGTGGAACAAAATTACAAACCGTGATAAACAGAGCTAATTAAGTAGAAATTGTAATGTATAGGTACTGCAAAATCGGTTTTTTGTTTCACCTTCCTCATACCAGAAGTTGATCAAGGTTAGGGATCTCAGTATGTCCCACCCTCAGCAGCCCAGCCTTGGCTCCCCACGCTCAGCAGGGTGGGTGCTCAGGCAGCACACGACTGTTTCCGTGCCACCTGGACTACTGTAGCGTCTTATAGAAAACAAATCCCCTGCTCCGCTTGGTACCCCAATCCCAGCCCTGACCGTGCCTTCCCGGAGGGCTTGGGAGGCCTCTGCAGACCACCCTCTCCCCTCCCTCCCTCACGCGTGCACACTCTCTCCCCGCTGGAGCGTGAGCTCCGGGAGGGAATGAAGCGCTCCTCTGATCACAGATATGTTCCTCGCGCCGGGGCACGTTGTTGTGGGGTGAGTGGGTGTGTGAACGGGAAGGGAACCTCTGTCCCCACATGTGGATAAGACAAGCAGAGATGGAGCGTGTTCCTTATAGCACCTGCGCAGTGTTTGCCAGTGTGCAGGACGGGTTGCTCGCCGCCTGCCGCTTGTCCTGGGGTGCGCGCCTCCTGGCCCGTGGGCTGCGCGGCTTCCTTTATCCATCAGTGCGTGTGAGGCCGGGCCCAGGGTTGCTCGTGAGGCAGTGGGCTTCACCCACACGTGGGACGTTGAGGTGTAGTCTTTCTGCCAGCGTGTTTTTCTGTTTTCGGGGCCTTAGGATCGGGGCGGGGCGGGGCGGGGCGGGGCGGGGCTCGCGCGGCGGGGCCACACCTGTGTCTGTTCTCCAGGTTACCTGTCCTGCTGCCGCTTCCTGGATGACAATCAGATCGTCACCAGCTCTGGGGACACCACCTGGTGAGCATCCGAGCGCGCGCCTTTCATGCACTGCTCACCTTAGACGGGTAGGAAATAAGATTTTTGACACTAATGGGGCCATCCTTTATCAGTTTGCAGTGGCCGTGAGGCGTCAAACACAAGTGCGTGAGTGATGAGTGAGTCCCTTTTACTCTACAGATTTTAAAGCTCACAGTTTAACTTTGAACAAGGAAGAACCGACCCATAGACGCTGAAGCTGCAGCTGCACGAGAAGTGCCTGCTTCTCTTTCCCTGCGCACACTCCCTGGCTGGGTGACACTCAGCAGCCCCCGGGGGAGCGGGTGTGCTTGCGTCCCCCTCAGTGGAGCGCTGTGCCGTGTGGACCCAGCAGGGCTCAGAAGGAGCAGGGGTCACGATCGCAAGTGGATCGTGTCAGACTTCTCCTGAGTTTGAGCTGTTCTCGTACTTCGAGTTAGAAGCCCACTTACACAATCTCTAGAACGTTTTCATTTGTGGCACCAGGGCGTACAGTCTAAATGATCAGATAGGCGGGTTGGTTGGTTGGTTTTGGATGCAGAACACATTTTTAATAGTTTCGTGTTTAAAAGAGTAAGCCATCTGCTGCTGAGGCTAGAGGTTTGACTTAAGGTTTTCTATATTGTTTTGTTTGGCTCAGATAGGTATTTTATGAGTCATTTTAGACTTAAACTGTCCTGGGGGCTTTTCTGGTCTTCAAGGCATGATGTGGTGGAATGCCCTGTGCCGGGGCCTGACTCCCATATCCAGCTTGTCCTGGTCTACAAGGCGTCCTTTTTGTATAAACTGTGTAAGTTCACAAAAGACGTATATTCTAGACTGTCAATTTTGGGAAGAATTTCTTTATTAGAAGATATTTTTTAAAGCTTTTTCATTTATGAATAAGTGTTTTTCGGAGTCCTGGGCACACCTTATTTCCTCCCTGTAGTCCCCCAGGCCCCAAGCAAGGAAGCCCTGCCCAGTGTAGGTGTAAATGGTGTGACTGGATTTGCGCCTGAGCCAGATTTCCTGGGGGGCTGGGATGAACTGAGCAGTTTCCAGTGTTGACGCCTCCTAGAGTCTGAAGCACAGAAACAGCATGTGCCCCACTCATAGCTCTGTCCGCATCTTACTTGACACCCGTCAGTAGCCGCTCACGCTGACACCGCGGGGCACCAAACTCAGGGCTGCCCTTCGGCGCACTCGCCCCTCACTCTCCCACGAGTGGCTCCAGGGGAGGGCTGTGGGGCCCCAGCCTTGCTTTGAGCCATTTGTTTACCGGGTGTTGTCTCGGTGTCCTAGCCTCTGGCCTTGTCATGCCCGAGGCCACAGAGCCGGCAGCAGTAGACTCACGTTCCCTGCCTCATCTGGGACACCTCCAGGAGCTCCCTGCAGCTCCTTGCGAACCCCCAGAGTGCAGGTCACTGGCTCCATCTTTGTTGGTGTCTGAGTTGGCGCAGAGAAAACGGTTACTCTGAAGCCCGTGGCACATTCTCATCTGTGTTTTGTTTGTTTCCTTTGTTTCCCTTCCAAACACAGTCACATTACAAAATTTAGAATTGTCAGGCCAAAAAGCGCAGAGGTTTGCTATGGTCCTAGATGGTTTGAAGGACAGTCACCTGACTGGTTGCCTGACAAAGTGAGGTGACTGCTTGTCGTGTGTTCCTGCTGCAGTGCTCTGTGGGACATCGAGACCGGCCAGCAGACGACCACATTCACTGGACACACTGGGGATGTTATGAGCCTCTCTCTCGCTCCCGACACCAGACTGTTTGTTTCTGGTGCTTGTGATGCTTCAGCCAAACTCTGGGATGTGCGAGAAGGGATGTGCCGGCAAACTTTCACTGGCCACGAGTCTGACATCAATGCCATCTGCGTGAGTAGGGGGTGAAGATGTGGGTCGGGGGCCTTTGCCAGCCATCAGCAAGTTAGATTACTCCTTGTATGCTGCAGAGCACATCAGGTTTTAAAATGTGTTCAGGGTTGGATGTTCTGTCTTTCGTACGCAACTGTAACCTATTTCACAAAAACTGTCGAAAACTTAGCTCTGATGCAGTCTGTCCTCGTGACACCAGCTAATTCTGTGCTAACCGTTCACCTCACAGACATCGGGGATGGGCCTGTTGTGTGCAGGCACCTGCTCCCAGCCCCAGGGCAAGCCAGGGATTGGGACCGGCTTCCCTCCAGCTGGGGGGCAGCGAGGCAGCAGCTAAGCCAGTCAGCATGGCCCCTTCGGAGCAGGAGGCCAAGGCCGAGCTGTGAGCCCCTCCCTGTGGCTGGGGCACAGCCAACGAAAGGAGCCTTCCCTTTGCCTCGTCACCTTGACGTGAGGGGCTCTTGCGAGAAGATGTGAAGGGTGGTATCTGGTTGGCTGGGGCTGGGGGTCCCTTCTTCACGAGGCTTGTCTGGCTGCTGGCGGCCCTCAGTGGTGACCATACTCTTCCTGATCCCCTGGAAAACAGTCATGAAATGAAGTCTCCTCTGGGGACGACAGCGGCTGTGGCTGCCCAGGTACCGATGCCCTCAGGTCAGGGTGCCCAGGGGGCTGCCCGAGCCCAGCCCCTGCTGACCTTTGCCTCCTGTGGCAGCGGCAGCCCTGCTGTCGGGCGGTCCCGTTTCCAGTACTTCTCTGTGCATTTGCGTATTCCCTTCATTTGCTTTCTAGTTCTTTCCAAACGGCAACGCGTTTGCCACTGGCTCGGATGACGCCACCTGCAGGCTGTTCGACCTTCGTGCAGACCAGGAGCTCATGACTTACTCCCATGACAACATCATCTGCGGGATCACCTCGGTGTCTTTCTCCAAGAGTGGGCGCCTCCTCCTCGCAGGGTACGATGACTTCAACTGCAACGTGTGGGATGCACTCAAGGCCGACAGGGCAGGTAGGTGTTTGCTGGGCCTTCCTGGGCCTCCTGGTGTTCAGGTAGCCCTTTTGAGGATGGACACGATGCACCGAGGCTGAAATGTTTAGGTTTGTGCCCGTCGTGCCGCTAAGAAACATGTGCCGTGCCTGAGTACACCTGCCTGCCCCGCGGCATGGCCCGGCGGAGGGATGGGGGACAGGCCAGGGCGTCCGTACTCGGGCTCAGGGCACACGGGCTTCCTTAGCACCAGAAGCTCTCCTTGCACGCACCATGTGAGGTGCACACGGACAGCTGCAGTGGGCAGGACAGCGCAAACTGCTGGGTCTTCAAGGCCCTCGCCTTGCTTTCTCTCCCCTCTGGCTGTACGTGGTGGAAGTGTGTCATCTAAGTGTGCAGCACAGGCTTGGGCAGGTGTGCCTAGTGAAGTATAAAGTCTGAAGTTCACACATTGAAGGCAAGGGTGTGGTTGTCAAGTGCATTAAAACACAGCTTGGGGGCCCCTGGGTGGCTCAGTTGGTTAAGCGACTGCCTTCGGCTCAGGTCATGATCCTGGAGTCCTGGGATCGAGTCCCGCGTCGGGCTCCCTGCTCGGCAGGGAGTCTGCTTCTCCCTCTGACCCTCCTCCCTCTCATGCTCTCCCTCAAATAAAAAAAAAATAAAATGATATTAAAAAAAACCACAGCTGTACAGGGGCATCTGGCTGGCTCATTGGGTGAAGCGTGTGACTCTTGCTCTGGGGTTGTTAGTTCGAGCCCCACATTGGGTGTAGACATTGCTTAAAAATAAAATATATATATATATATTATATTTTTAAGATTTATTTATTTTAGAGCACGAGCAGGGGGAGGGGACGGGGAGAGAGAGAGAAGCGGACTTACCCACAAAGTGCGGAGGCAGACATGGGGCTCAATTTCACCACCCTGAGATCGTGACCTGAGCCAAAACCAAGAGTCAGATGCTTAACTGCCTGAGCCACCCAGGCACCCCAAAAATAAAATCTTAAAAAATAATAATAAAACAACTTGTACAAAAGATGAGAAACTTCCTGTATTAAACACAGACAGGCAACTGAATTGAATTGACATTTTCAGAATCTTTCCACTCTACCTTGGCAGGGGGAAGAACAGAGCATGACTGGGGGTCTCCTGGGGTTCTTTCCTTGACCTCCCACTTTCCGATGGATCTTTTCCTGCCCTGGGCTGAGGTCCCCTCCTGCTCCCCCTGCTCCCTCTCGCAGACCCCCTGCCCCCATTGCCTCTGCCCCGACAGTTCCCCGGTCACAGTGCCACAGCAGAGAACACTGTTCCGTCCAGCTGAGACTCTCTCTTTACTCAGCTGTGACACTAAGGAGTATAGGAAAGGACAGGAGTTCTCTGAAATTAGCCATCAGACTCTTCCTGATAATTATCCAAGCACAGACGCTGGGTGTCAACAGGGGGCTTTTGTCTCACTGTGGGTTCAGCGTGGGTTACCGTGTGACATCCCATTGGCCCTCCCCCTCTTGCATCTGTCACCAGCCCTCTGTGTTTTGTGCCCTGTGCTAGGCTTTAGGGATTATAAACAAATGAAGAACAGCCCACAGCCTTATACTCTTGGGTTGTAATTGCCCTGAGATTGGGATGGTTGGATTTTTTTTTTTTTTTTTAAGATTTATTTATTTTAGAGAGAGAGTACACTAGTGGGAGAGGGAGAGGGAGAAAGAGTCTTAAGCAGACTCCACACTGAGCGGGGAGCCCGACACAGGGTTCGATCTCATGACCCTGCGATGATGACCTGAGTGGAAAAAAAGAGTCGGATGCCCCAGGCACCGCTTATTGAAGCTTCTTACCATCATGAGTATACTCAAGAGTTGGTGCAAGAGACCCTGAGTTATTCACTGTGTGTTTTGTGCCTTTTTATCATGTCTGTTCCTAGTCATCATGCTGTCTTAGTATCTGTTACCAGGCGCTCCAGTATATCTTTATTTTGTTTGAATACTTCCCCCGCTGTAGGTGCCTTCACATTGTTTTTAAGAGAGGAGTGTATTGAGCTTTACTCGCCTTGGTGGAGCGTGGCTTCTCTTCGTCCTGGCGTCCTTTCCTGCCAGGGAGGCGTTGCGGGGGCTGGGCCTCAGCGTTTGGGGCCTTCCTCCGCGCGTGGTCCTGCACCCAGCCCTGCAGAGCATCAGCACGTCACTGCTAGGTGGGGCACCTCTGGGTCCCGGAGTGACTGGGCTCTTATCTGCTCTCAGGTGTCTTGGCTGGGCATGACAACCGCGTTAGCTGCCTGGGGGTGACTGACGATGGGATGGCCGTGGCGACAGGGTCCTGGGATAGCTTCCTCAAGATCTGGAACTAACGCCGACAGGTAACACAACAGCCCACGCGCCCTCCCTGCACACACCTCTGTGTATTTCTCACAGCACAGAGGAGTTCACAGTTGCTAGATTAATTTTGATGTTGAGTTGATCTGGAATTATGGTGAGGTGAGCATTGCATCCACCTGAAATAACACACCCTCGGCGGCAGACGGGAGGGGCAGGATGAAGAGCAGTAGCACTGACTTTAGATGTTCTCTTTTTTACATTTCTTTAAACTCTGTTTAAAGCAGCAGCTGGACGTCGTGGCGAGTGGAAGACCATTCCAACCCTGAAGCGTTACAGTGATAGCATTTCCAATCCACCCCTACTAACGTGGACGCCCTGCACCCCCTCAGAACTTCAAAAGGGCAAGACCTTTTCCTTCACTTATTGCTGAAACCAAGAGCACAATTCCCATGAAGAGAAGAATCTCTGTGCTGTAAACTCAAACAAATTGTGCATTCCTCCCGGGACCATTGTCTTTGTTTTCTTTTTTGTCTTGAATGAATTTAAAAGGAAATACTATAATAAACGTGCTAAACAGAAGGTAAACTTGAGTGTAATTGCGAGGCAGACACACCTTTTCACTAGTTCATTTGAATTTTAGGTCAGTGACCCTATTTTGTGCTGTTCATGCAAAACAAGTTGAGGATTTTATCTTGTAATCAGTTCTAAATTTCAGGTTGTGTTTGTAACAATTCTGCAAACATTCATATTTCCTTTTTAAAATATATTCCTTTACGTTCAGTAGTTACAGAGGAAGAGGGTCTGGTGCAGCCTCTCTGAAATTGTTAATGATGTAAATTGAGTCCCTTGTTTTTTATTTTTTGTCTCGTGTCACATAATTGTTACGCACAAACACGGCATAGAAAGGAAGATGCTAATAAGGAAAGGAACCAAGCACATGCTGTGGATGGTCTTGAATGCGTGATGAATAGTAAACTCAGATTAGGCACCTTCTGCTCCCCCAACCCGTCCTCCCTACCTTCTCAGTTCAGTTCTTAATCTCACCTTGGGTTTCCTTGTGAAGTCGGAGGGACGTTCGTAATAATAGCCTAACACTACCCTGCGCCCCACCCCCAGCCGTCAGGAACCTCTGTTTTTCAGAGAGGCGCCCGTCCTGTGCTTGGATAGTCCGTCAATTATTTGTGTATGAAACCATGTACAAATCAATGTTTTGAAAATAATGATCTCAAACTTTCTAAGTTAAATTTTAAAAAATTTGATCGTTTGCCATATTGGGTGGGTTTACTCTTAGAATCGCATGCTGTAGAAATGCTCAAAAGCGCATATAGGACTCAGTCCTTAGATGTTCTTTTTCTTTTAAGAAATAACCTCTTTACAGTGTAACTAACCACTGCGGCTCTGTCCGCTCACGTCTGCAGTGTCGGGGGCAGGGCGGCCCGCAGGCTTCACGCTTGGGCAGCGGGATCAGTCACTCTTTCTTTCTTTCTTTCAAAAAAAAAAAAAAAAAGTCCTGTTCCAAATGATCACTGTTGGATTCGGGGGTGGGGGTGGGGGGCAGGGAATGGAGACCCTGGCCTTCCCCTGTAGATTCCTCCTGGCCTGTCTCGCCGTGGAGGCAGACCGCTGTCTAACACGCAGACGTCCCGGGTCCCGCGGGAGGCCGGCGTCCAGCAGCAGCAGCTGGACGGCGGTGTCGTGGCTGCCTCCCCGCACCCTAGCCCACTTCCCGCAGCAGTGGTGGCTTCTCTCTGTCCTGTTTTCTGCAGCAGCCTGTACAGAACTTTGCTGTGACACGCGGTCGGCCTGGATCTGGCAGAGAGAATAAACACGAGCCCTCCTTCCTTCCCATCGACACCTCTGTAGAGCTCTCTGCACCCTGTGCCCCTCACTGTTTGTATTTAATTTTAAAGTCAGTGTATTGCAAGGAGGCTGGATGCAAGATAGATACTATATTAAACTGTACTGTTATTTAAGATGTAATAAAGCAGTTTGACATGAGGGACTTTGGTGTGGCTGCTTATTTGCCAGCTGTTTGGGTTCCTGACGACAGCCATCGTCCCCCGGCCGCCCTACTCGGTGAGGTCGGCTTGATGTGGTCATGTGAGCAGTGCCGCGGCTGCCCGCTTCTCTGCCAGGTCTTTGGTCCCCATTAGCAAGAGTCCATGAAAGGAGGGTCGGGTCCTCTGCCGGGTCCCAGCAGTTCTGCCACCACCCAGGCCTGCTCCCCCCCACACACACCTCTCAGGCCACTGCCCAGGGTGCATGGACTGTCCCCAGTGGCCCTCCCCCCGTCTCTTGTCTTCCCCTGAGCCCCTTGCTTCCTCTTCCCTCTGTAAGATGTCTGAGGACGTTACTCCTGCTGACGGAGTGGTTTTTATCTCAAGTCTGGATAAAAAGAACAGCATGGAAGAAAAATAAGCATCTCCCACCAACATGTGAGAAGTCAGAACGGGCATACTCCCGAAGGACATCCACCGGGGCGGGCCGTTCCTTCTTTACTCTACACGGTTGTCAGACGTAACTTGGTAGTTTTCGTGGGTTAAATGCTGGTACTTTTTCATAAATAAGTGAAGACTGCTCTCCACGGGAAGTACTCCCACCTGAGGCTCTGTTCTCCAATTATCAGCAAGATGGAGCAGCGGGGGCCTCCTGTGGGTTTCTGCAAGGACCAGGGGTGCTGTCTCCTCAGAGACTGGCAGCCTGAATGGCGGGTTTGCCTGGCTTCAGCCTCCTCCCCCACGGCTCCCTGAAAGACACTGCCCGTTGTCTTAGAAGAGAATGCCAGAGAGCATCCGAGGTGCCCCTGGGGCTGGCAGCCGGAGTCCTTGGGAGGGATGTTCTGGGATCAGAAAGCAGGTGGTTAGCCGGCCCAGGGGCACACCCTGGGATGGGCACAAGGTGGCCATGGGGTAAAATGGGACCTGGTAGTCCTCGATGCCTACCTGTCCCTATCTCCTTCAGTGCCCCAGCCTGGCACCCAGCATGCCCCCTGCTCCTTGACCCCAAGGCACAGAGTGGCCCTTTGCTGGCTCTGAGATTACTGTCCCACTTTCTCAGCAAAGCAGTCCCTGCAAACAGGCATCAGCCGGGGCATCTAGCAAGGAGCCCGCGCTGCCAGGGCAGAATGCTGGTTTTCAACCTTCAGGCACAAAACAATCTTGTGCGGACTGAGCGGACCCTTCAGCACTTGGCCTGAGCTGCTTGGGCAGTCCCGGGAAGTGAGCTCTTGCTTTGTGCCACGCGTCCCCTCCAGGGTGCCCACCCTGCTCCCTTCCACTCCTCCAGTCTCCCCTGCAACCACTGCCCCTCCTGGTTCTAGTCATGGCCCTGCCCTTGGGGGCACACCCGTTGCAGGTGCGCTGTCCAAGCTCACAGAGCCCTTGGAGGGTGGACTCCAACTGGGGCCTCTCTCTGACTTTTAGGGCCCTGTCCCCACCATGCCCACTCAGTGTTGTGCCCCAAGTGGATACTGGGGTCTCCTGCTGCCTCCCATAGCCCCTGACCCTCAACCTGGCCCCACCAGCCCTGGGGGCTGCCCAGAGGGGTGTGCTGTCCAGGCAGGGTCTCTCCTCTAACTAGCACTCCATCTACCCCCACCGCTGCCTGCTCCGTGAGTCCAGTCAAAGCCCTCTCTGGAACCAAGCCCAGGCTGTACCCCTCGTGTCCTCGCTGCAGGTTACTTGGCCTGTCTGTGCCCCGGATTCCCCGAGTGAAAACCGCAGACAACAAAAGCACCTGCTTCCTAGAGGCCTCCTGAGAATTCCTTGAGCCCCCTGTATGCAGGTGCCAGACCCCACCCGCCCCAGGCCGGCACTGCCTCTGCCCCACAGGGGCTCCTCCCAGCTGCCAGCAGGGCATGCCCCCCTTCACTGACCACCCTGCTGAGAAGCTTACAGTCCACTCGAAGGTTTTGTTCCCTGCTGAACTGTGTGCATGGCACTTCACAGGCCTGCAGGAAGAGGGGCTGCTCCACTCCACCCCCCAAAACCATTCCAAACAGGACAGTGCCACATTGGCAATTCCAGACACTGGGCTCTGGGGAGGAATGGCCATGCTGGAGGGGCTGGACTCGTCCCACGCGTGCTGGCTAGAGGCCTGAGGCTGGGGGTGGACAAGATGACCTCTGCATACCCCAAGACACGCCCCTCCTCCACAGGGAGCCTTGGTCCCTCCCTGCCACCCCTGTCACCCAGGCTCCTGGCCACTTCCCCTTTTGAATACCAGGCAGCCTCTGTTCCCCGCCCTCACCCCTGCCAGGCACAGTTGAGGCGAACTTCCCTGTGAGCTGGGAGCAGGACTGTGAGGAGAAACCCCTCCACCCTGGAGCTGCCACGCCCCCCACCCCGACTGCACGCAAAATCCAGGACCACCCACCCTACCTGAATGAGTCCAGCTCTGAGTGGGCAGCCTATGTGGCTCTACCTTCCATGGCCCAGGCCTCCTTCTCCCACCACCTACCCTACCCACTCTGCTGTCCCCCATCATTCAATCCTCAGAAGAGGGTGCATCTAGGTTTTAGGGGTCTGAGGCTTCAGTAAAACTGGAGTCACAAGTCACGTTTCAGAAAAATGCAAAGAAACAAATACTAGTGCTGGGAAAGGTTACCTGAGAGCCCTGAGGCAGAACCCCCCAACCTCAGCCGAGCCCAAATTAGCCTGCCTGGCATCCATCCCCACCCCCACACTGGCCTTTGTCCCTGCTGCTGGCCCTTCCCTCTCCCCAGCAGGTCTGGCTTATTCCTACTCCACCTTTGGACTCAGCCCAAGCAAAACTTCTAGGAACCTTCCGGATGCCCTAAGGAACCCCTCCCAGCACTGGCTTCCGTCATTGCTGGTCAGCCCTTGAGGGCGCTGGGTGGGACCAGGGCCTGCTGGGAGCAATTGCACAATCTGGTCAGCGGAAGGAAGCCACAGCCCCTGTGTTCTCATCTCTGAAATGGGGAAGCACTCCTGTGTGAAGTCTTGAGGTCTGGGGTGGACAGAGACTTTCCATCACTACAGGGCTCCTGCACAACTTCCCTGTAGAGAGGGGCACAGGAAGGGGCCTGCCGTGGGACCGTGGCTAGTTACTAGGCTGCTGGCTCTCCTTCCTTGGTGCCTTCTCTATAAACTTCCTGCTCTAGAAGGTTCTTAGGAGGCCTAGCCCGGTGCCTAGAACATAATAAGTGCTGGATCAAGTGTTAGTATTCTGTTAATGATCATATCCAAAATACACAGCTCAAAAGGCTTCTCCCGTGGGTGTGGCCGGCTGTCACTTTAGAGAAGTGGTTGGGTTTCCAAAATAACCAGATGGGGAAGTTACAGAGCTTGAGAAATCCCCCCCAATTCCTGACATCCTTGCCCCCCTTTCTACTCACTCTTGGTGACCCCACTGCCCAGTGGTCCCAGGGCGGTAGTGAGACATGTCCTGTTTTGTGCGCATCTGAGTTCGGAGTCTCTGCACGCAGGGCTGGGAGACCCCACCAGAGAAGCCTGACCACCGCAGGTATGGGGGCAGGGGAAACCTGGCGGCCACGCTGCTGCAAAGGGCTCCACTCCACACAAGGTGTGGGAGACCTGCGCGCACACAGGGAATAACGGGGGGCACTTGGGAAGCCCGGCAGATTACCAAGGACCGAACAGGGCACTCCCCCCGGCTTCTTCTACGGTGACCCCTTATTCACAGACGAGTCCCAGGAGCCTGGCACACTGTTGGGACACTTGACTCCTGGGTGGCCTGGGGAAGGCCTGCAGCTCCACCAGAAGCTACCAGGTGGGTAACTGTGTCCTAGGTCCCCTCCCTCTCTCCTCTCTGGGTCCTCCGGTGGTGATGGCGAGAGGGGTGGTGGACGGCAGTGCTAGCAGGTCACCCTGGAGGGGCCCCCTTTGACATCCCAGGCCTACAGCCCCTGTAGTCCAGGTGGTGTGCAGGGCCCCGCCAGGCTGCTGGGGGTGGGAGAGGCCCGCGGTGGCCCCGCCCCGGCCGCCCCCTCCAGCGGTACCGGCAGGGAGGGGTCCGGCTGTCGCAGCTGCTGGCACCCGGTTTTGGTTCCCAAAACATGTGCCTTCTAAGTGGATTCACACCCCGTCAGTCACGGAATCCTAAGCGGGTGCTGTGACCACCCGCGGGGGTCCGCACCAGTCCACCCGGCCCGCGGTGGAGGGGAGCGGGAGCGGCACGGGGCAGGGGCGAGGGGCGCGAGCCGACGTGCTTGCAACGCGGCGGGGTGAGCGGGGACCAAGGTTCTTCTTCGCGGCAGCCGCCGTCGGGGTCGGGGCAGCCGACGGCCGCTCCTGCCCCCCACCCCACCGACCCCTGGGTCGCAGCCCCAGCCGGGACCCCGGGTCCTTGCGGGCCGACCCACGTGCGCGGGGCGCGGCGCATGCGCGGGCCGCGGCGCATGCGCGGGGTGGGGCGCGCGTGCGCACCGCCTGCATTGCTGCTCGGCGGGCCGGCGCCGCGGTCCCGGCGGCCGTGGGGCGGGGGCCGGCCATGGGGCGGG